CGCGTCGACCGAGCGGCGCCGCCGGCGGCGGCGCCGGCAGGAGCGGCGGCACCGGTGCCACGCCGGCTGCGGCCGCGGCTGCGGGCGAGGCAAAGGCCGGCGGGGAGGAGGATGCTGCCGCGGCGCTGCCGGGTAGGCCAAACATGTGGTGTATTGCGGCCGGGCTCAGGGGGGCGGAAGGAGGGGAGCGGGCGCCGGCAAACAGGGTGGGGCTGCCGGCCACCCGCAGCGTCGCTATCTGGTCTGCGGTGCCTGCGGGGGGAGGGACCAACAGGCGCAGAGTGGTGAACGAAGTGCGCCGCTAAGCTGCGCAATGGGTTGGGCGTGAGCTGGCGCCTACGGTAAGGGACGATGAGTAAGCAGTAAGCTGAGGCGGCGCAGCCCTGGCACCCTCACCCGCTCGGGGGCTGGCCAGCGGCGTCATGCCGCCGCGGTTGATGCGCCAGGCTCCCGGCGACAGCAGCAGCATGCCGCCGGCGCCGCCGCGGGTGGGCGTCCCCGCCAGGCCCCGCGGGGGCGGCGAGCCGGGGTGCCCGGCGGCCAGGGCGGGCAGGCAGGGTTTCTGCATGGACGGCGGCTGCCCGCCGCGCACGAGCAGCGAGGGCGGGGAGGGTATGCCGCCCGGCTGCCCCCGCGCCGTCTGCGGCACCAGGTAGGGCAGCGCGCTGGGCGTGGGCTGCACCAGCAGGCTGCGGTTGTCGGCGAGGCGCAGGAGGAAGGCGCGGGTGTGGGGGATGAAGACCTGCAGTGCGGAGCGGGAGGCAGGGCGCAGGGGCGGGCGAGTGAGCACACCACAGTTCCTGGTCGCGGCTGGTCAGCCCACGCGCAGAACTGTACAGCACCAGAAGCACAGGGGTGGAGCCGCCAGCCAAGCCAGCCAGCGGCCCATAGGTGGCAGCAGCAGCGCCCGCCTGGCGACTTGTGTGTGGTAAGAGGCGGCGCATGGCCCTGCCCGCCTGCCCGCCTGCCTGCCTGCATGCCTGCCCAGCCCCGCCTGCCTGATTGTAAAAGGTGATGATGTCTGCGGTGGCGGTGGGGTGCAGCTGGTGCAGGGTGGTGTGCTCCCGCGGGCGCATGCTCACTGCAGGTGGCGCAGGGCGTGGGCGGTTGGGGGGCGGGGCGCGGAAGAAAGTCAGGGCGGGACACCGAGAGGCACACAAGCCAGCGCTGTGGGCCTGGTCAACAGGCGTACACATGTATGCACGTGCGTGCCGGGCGGCGGCGGCGGCGGAGGCCAGCCAGCGCTGCGCATGCTTGCGAAGGGCCGCTCCCGAGGCACCCACCGCTCTTAAAGGTGTCTGCCTGCGCCTGCGCCTGCTGCTTGTAGGCGGCGATGATGGCCTTGAAGGAGGCCTGGCCCAGCTGGTGCAGCTGCAGCACGGCGGGCGCAGCGCGGCGCAGCACGGCGTCGTGGAGGCAGGCAGTGCACAGCACAGCACAGCACAGTACAGCACGGCACAGCACAGCACAGCACAGCGGTCAGGGCACAGCGAAGCGAAGCGGTCAGGCCCTGATCGGCTGGCGAGCGCAGCCCGGGTCTTGGCCTTGGCGGCTGGCCGTGGAGCCGGGCGCGGCGGCAATGGGGCGCCCGCTGGCGGCGCCGGCGGCCGCACCTTGCAGACAGAGTAGAGGCAGCAGAGCAGCGCTTGGTCCAGGTGTCGGCCGTACAGCAACCAGGTCTGCTCAAAGGCCACGTGCTGGGCCAGCGTGAAGGCCTGCAGGGCAGCCCAGGCAGCGCAAGGGAGCAGGGACGCTATGTGCGCTGGTGCAGGCACGCGGCACGCACTCATAGCCAGGCAAGTCCCAGGGCAGGCACGCCACCAGACCGGCGGCTCCAAGCCCTGTGACACGGCACACAGCCGCTGCGCGCCAGTCCGCACGGCAATGCCGCCGCTGTGCGCCAGCCCCAGCCCCGCCTTAGCCAGCCCCAGCCCCGCCCCCTGCCTGCGCCGCACCTCAGCCAGCAACACGTGTGGGTCAGCCGGGTGCGTGTCCAGGCGGGACAGCAGGTCGGCCAGGCGGATGGCGGCCAGCTTCAGCACGCGGCGCAGGAACTTGTTGACCTGCACGGAGGTACGGTGCAGGCGGTACGGTGAAGCAGTACAATGGGAAGGTGCAGCCGGGGTCGGACACGCGAGAGCGGGCCAGCCACACACCGCCTGATGGCGCAAAGGGCCAGACACACGCCTCCTGCTGCTGCCGGGCGGTCGTCGAGCAACTCACCGCGGAGCGAGCGCTGCGGTCGCCGCGAGGCATCAGCGCCGAGGCCGGCCCCGCCGCGTCGGTAGACGCCGGCTGCTGGTCGCCGCTGGCGCCACGCACGGCGGCGGCCGCCCGCGGCTCAGACCCTAGCGACAGCGGCAGGCGGCCGGGCGTATCCACCCCGCTCTGCTCGTGCTGGTGCCGCCGCTCGCGCTGCGGCGGCCAGCGCTGGCTGTGCGGCTGCGTGGCGCTGCCCAAGGTGCCGCCGCCCGGCGCAGGCGCCGAGGCAGCGCCCTGCTGATGCTCCGGGGGGTGGACGAGTGGCGGCGCCGCATCTGCCATGTCAGCGTCCGCCCCGTCGGCGCCACCTGGCGCCGCCATCTCCTCCAGCCCCCGCTTGCGCGGCGTCACGCTGCCCGCGCGGCGCTCGCCGCCGCCCACGCTGTCGCCCACGCTGGGTGAGGAGGTTGGGGAGCACGCGGGCTCGTGGCTGCCGCCGGCTGGCGCCGCCTCCAGCGACGCGCGCTCGCTGGCGCTCGAGCCGCCGCCGCTGCCGCTGGCGCCGCCGCCGTGGCTGCCCACCGCTGCAATCAGGGTGGGGTACAGGCTGGATCCCTGGGCCCAGGCCAGGCTCTCCAGGCACCGCTCCTCCACAGCCAGCATGTGGCGCTTCAGGTCCCTGCAGGCGTTTTAGCAGCAAGAGGAAAGAGGGGCCACGTGAAAAGTGATGAAAAGAGGTTTCATTTGGATGCCACGAAGAGAAGGCAGAAGTTCAAGCGTGCACCTCGGTGGCGACACGCAGGCCAGCCTGCGCGGGTGACGGTGCAAGCAAGCCATGCGCGGGCAGGGCGGTGCGCTGGGGGCGGCGCGCACCGGGGCAGCGTGGGCAGCGCGTGCACAAACGGCTCCACCGCCTTGCACAGGTCAAAGGCGGGCAGGCTGAGGCGCTCCAGTACCGCTGGGAACGCCAGGTTGACCTGCGGGGAGGCAACAGGGGAGGGAGGGGAGGGAGGGAGGGAGGGAGGGAGGGAGGGAAGGGGCTTGGCGTGCGAAGGGCGGGGCAGAAACGCATGGACTGCATGGCAGCAAGCCTGTGGCCCCAGCGCTACCGGCAGGCAGGCAGGCAGGCGGGGCGGGCGAGACCAGCGCCTGGCCTGGCCGACCGCCCGACCACTCTCACCATGCGATAGGAGGAGATGACGCACTCGAGGGCGCAGGCCGCCACGCAGCGATGGAGGAGCGGCGCGGCCAGCAGCGCGGCGGCGGCGGCGGGGCCCGCGTCTGGGCGCCCCGCCTCTGCCGCCACCAGCGACTGCAGCACGCGCCAGTACAGGCGCAGGCCCTGCAGGTGGGCGGGCACCGGGGATTAGGCGGTGAGGAGGCAGCGGAGACATCACCAGCGGTTCCCACGGCGAGGTGCCAGCCAGGCAGCAAAAAGCAGGAGGCAGGCCGGCTTCCGGCTGCGGGCGCCCACCTGTGAGCGCCGCGCGGCGGTGGTGCTCTGCTCCAGAGCCAGCAGCGGGCCGTCCAGCGGGGCGGGGCAGTCGGGGAACGCAGCCTTGGCCATGCCCTCTGCCGCCGCCACCAGCCGTGCCTCTGCACCTGCAACGCACGAGGCGGGGGGTGGGGGGCAAGCGCAACACGGCGCTCAGCGGGTGCAGGCATCTCTCCAGCCAACCAAAAACACCCGCTGCCTGCGAAAACCACCAGAGCACAAGCAGCGGCATGGAACGCTCAGCCAGGGCGCACCTGCATCCATCCCTGCTGCCTGCATCAGCGCACGCAGCTGTGGTGGAGGCCCCTCGCCCTGCCCGGCCACCGTCCCTTGCAGCCATGCAGCTGAGCTCATCGCAGCTGTGATGGGCGTGGGTTGCGGGGCCAGCGGCGGGGGCAGCTGGCGCTGGCTGGCGGGCGAGGGCGTGTGGTAGGATGCATCGTGCGCTGAGCTGTCGACGCCGGTCGCCGCTGGGCCCCCTCCCGCGGGCTCGGTAGCGGTGAGGTGCAGGGCACGGGGGCGCCTGAAGGGCAACAAGCGTGCCGTACAGTTCAGGGCCTGGGCACTAAGGCAGTCACCCCGCCGACCAGGGCAGCAAACACGGGAGACGGTCAGCCACAGCAATGCAGGAGCCCCTGCGCTCACCTCAGCGGCGTGGAGTTGACGGCCTGGGTGTGCTGGCGGGCGCAAGGCGACTCCGGCTCCTCCTCGCCGGCTGCTGCCGCCGCCGCCGATGCAGCCTCCGGGATCGTCGCCGCATCCACCTCCATACCGGTGGCTCCTGCCCCCGCCTGCGCCTCTGGTGCTGCCGCTGCCGCTGCCTCGGCCGCGGTGGCCTGCGCTGCGGCTGCTGCCGCGGGAGGCGCATGCGTCTGCGCCTCGGCGGCTGGCGCGGAGACGGCGGCAGCATCCCTGGCGCCGGCTGGGGCGCCGGCGCCGGTGTGGGTGGCTGCTGTGGCTGCTTCCATGGAGGGAGCAGGTGCTGCAGGCGCCAGGAACTGGAGAGCATCCACATCAGCATCCGCAGTCAGGCGCTGGTAGTGGTGCTGCAGCCTCCACTGCTGCCGCCGCCGCCTGCCTATCCGCATCAACCAGGCCCGGGAAGCTGAGCCACACCAGCGGCGGAGCAGCGGGCGCTGCAGCACCAGCCATGGCCTGCTGCTGCTGCTGCTGGGCATCCTGCGCTGCTACGGGCACAGCCGCAATCCAGGGCTGCAGCACCTGCGCCAGCAGCAGCTGGAGCAGGCCTGCCAGCTGGCGCACCGTGGCCGCGTGTTCCGCCGCGCTGTGGCTGGCTGCCACCGCAGCCAGCAGCACATCTGGTGCCTCCTGCTGCTGCTCAGCGTGCCTCAAGTGCTGGCGAGGTATGTTGCGCAGCATGAAGTGCGTGCAGGCCAGCAGCAGCGCAAAGCTGGTCACCAGGTCGGCCTGTGGCGGCAGCAGCGCGGCGCGCGCGGCGCAGAAGAGCAGCCAGAAGAAGCCCAGCGGCGAGCGGGGGCCCGGGTCAGGAGGTGTAATGAAGTACTCAGCAAAGATGTCCTGCACAGCAGCAGTGGCAGCAAGGAGGGGGCTTCCCATGAAGCGTGCGGTACCCCGTCCCGTAGCGGCACAATGAACCGCTTAATGGCCATGGCCGAGCAATGCCATGCCACTGTTCGCAGCTGACCCCAGGTGTGTGTCCCCTCCCTTCCTCACCCGAGTCTTCTTAGCCAGCAAAGTGCTGAAAACATAGGTCTGCTTGAGCTCCCGCAGCTGCAAACGGCGCTCCAGAGGCACGCCGCTGCCCAGCACTTGGGCCACCGCCGCGTCCAACAGCGCCGCGGCGGGGGACAGCTCCCGCACGCCGCACTCCAGCCTGCAGTAAATTAGTGCGAATTGTGGGTCGGGGTGGCACTGGCCAGCAGGGGCCCAAGGGCCCAGCGAGGGTTGTGGGCGTGCACCCAGTGCTGATGCGCCACATGTGGGCCGCATGCGGCAGAATTGAGCAACCCCGCTCACGTCAGCCCACAAGCTGCAAGCACGGCGGGGAGCCGGGCCCTCTTCTGCGAGGTGGCGACCGCTCCCGCCAAAAGACAGCAAGCGCAAGCAGCGCTTCTCTGCTTGCCCTGCAGGCACGGGGTTGGTTGATGGGTTTTGTCAGGGACTCTAGGGGTGATCAGAACGTCGGTGGGGCCCTGCAGCCCGCTGGGAGAGGGCCGACCTGCAGCTTGGCGAGGATGTCGCCTGAGGCGTCCAACAGGAGCGCACAAATCTGTTCCGTCGTCTCGTCATCAAATATGCTGGCGGCAGCAGCCAGCAAAGCTGCTTCGGGCGGGCTTTCCGCTGTGCTCCCCATGGGTGGGAGCTCCCAGCCCCAAACCTCCGCCACAGGCGCCGGCAAAAGCGATCCAAAATTTTGGAGACTCCTGCGGGAGGGTGCGCGGCCTCGATTGGAGGGAACCGCGACTGCCACGTCAAGGCGCAAGAAGAATACGGCGCGGTGGTTTCAAGAGGGCATGCATTGCATTTGCATTGCATCTGCATCCTGTGCAATCTCCTGGGGACTTTGTGGCAATAGCCTGCATCCCAAGGCACCTGCATGCAGGATTGCATCCATTGAACACGCAGCCGCAGCGGGAGGCAGGTGCAGTTGAGCGAGATGGTTGTGACAATGGGCAAGGGAAAGAAGCGCAAGGCGCCGGCACCACTGGCGGCGCAGGAGCGGCACAAGGAGGAGGCTCCCAACCTCTTTGAGCGCCTCTCCAACAAGAAGCGCTTCAGCATCCTTGGCCGCAAGGTCAAGGGCGAGACCAGGCAGCTGGGCAAGCTGCGCACGGCCGCCGGCGAGCGGGTGAGTGGCGTCGGGGCGGCGGCGGCAGGCGGCACACAGCGGCCTCGCGTGGCCCATTGCTTGTGCCTTCCAGCTCGAGCAAGCCATGCTGACGCTGTGCTGCCGTCCGACATGTGCCTGTAGCGCAAGAATACCCTGCTGGTGGAGTACCGGCAGCTGCGCAAGAGCAACGCGTTCATCGACCGCCGCTTTGGGGGTGCGTTATCACCCTCCCATCCCCACGGAGGCACTGTGGGAACGTGGGCAACACCAGCCACAGCAGTGCAGCGGCTGGCATGTGATGCTTGCTGCATGTTTGTCTGATCGAACCATGCATTCACCCTCCCTCTGCTGGCTGCGCCCCACCCCCTGCTGCCGCAGAGGATGACGAGAGCCTTACGGCCGACGAGAAGGCTCTGCTGCGCTTCCAGAAGCAGCGGCTCAAGGAGCTGGCGGGCGGCAAGTTCACGCTGCCGGACGAGGAGGGCGGCGAAGGAGGGGAGCAGCTAACGCACATGGGCCAGTCGTTGGCTGAGCTGGATGATGCGCAGGAGGTGCGCTAGGCGGGGAGGCTGCCTGGCTGCAGAGCACAGAGCGCCTGGTTGGCTGCTGGAATCATGCTGTGCCCTGGGCTGCCACTTCTGCCGCTCCTCCAGCCGGCTGGGCTCACTGACTGGCCTGCTGCGCTGCCTGCTGCCCGCAGGGCTGGGGCTCTGACGACGAGGGCGACCGGCGGCTGGATGAGGAGCTGAGTCGGGACTTCCACTTTGGCGGCGGGCTGTTTGAGAGGAAGGCGGGTGGCGGCGGCGGCGAGGAGGGCGAGGAGGGCGACGAAGGCGGGCGGCCGCACAAGAAGAGCAAGAAGGAGGTGAGGCGGGGTGCGGGATGAGGCTGGGGCTTGGCATGTGGGGCATCGTTTTGAGCCAAGGCTGAGTGGGCCCAGCAGCCAACCAGGGCACTCCTGGCGGAGAGCCGAGCCGTCGGCCTCATCTTCCCGCTTTGCCACCGCGCGCGCACCAGGTGATGGAGGAGGTCATCGCCAAGAGCAAGGCCTTCAAGGCGGAGAAGCAGCGGCAGCGGGAGGAGGATGCGGATGAGACGACAGCCCTGGACGACCAGTTCAGGTGCGGCACAGGCCACCGGCATTGCTGGGTGCCGGCAGCACCGCGGCAGTGGCAGCTGCGCCCTGGGGCCTTGCCTTGCGATGCTGCTGCTTCCACCAGCAGCCGTACAGGCCGGTCCCGCGCCGCCAAGCCGCTGCCCTGTGCTTGCTGCTTGCTTCCCGAACCCTGCGGTTGCGGAGTTGTTGGGTTGCTGTGAGAGCACACCCCGCTGCCTCGCCGCCTCCCCCGGCTGCAGGTCTCTCATGGGAGACAAGGCGCTGCTGGGACTGATGCGCAAGAAGGGAGAGAAGCGGTGAGGGCGCAGGGCTGCCCAGCGACGGGAAGCCCACCCACGCTGCTATGCCTCAACAATGGCATGGCGCTGCGCTTGCTCTTGAAGTAGTTGCTGAGCCAGGAGGCCCTCAGCGCCGCCCTACTGACAGACATCTCGATCTGGGGCGCTGCATGCCAGCTACCATGCCATGGCGGCTGATGCAGGGTTTGACCCCGCGAACCTGGCTGCACCTGTGCCTGCCGTCTGCAGGGACAGCAGGGCGGACAACAGGGAGGACCAGGCCTTTGATGTGCTGACCCGGGAGCTGGTGTTTGAGGCCAAGGCCAAGCCCGGGGAGCGCACGCTGACCGGTGCGTGAATGGGTGTGGCGCCCGCGGCGGCGCTGGTGGTGGTGGCGTGGTCGTCGCCGGTGTGCTGGCGCTGGACTGACGGTGCATCCTCTCAATGCGTGCAGCTGAGGAGCTCGCTGAGCTGGAGCGGCAGCGGCTGGAGGCGCTGGAGGCGCAGCGGCGCCGCAGGATGCAGGCACGCGGCCAGGCTGCTGGTGCAGTGCCCTGTTCGATCCACCCTGGAAGCCGTGGAGCACTGTTGGGGCTGCCTGCCTGGCACAGCCGCTGCTCAGCTGGGCTTCTGCTGCATTGGCTGGATTGCAGGGAGAGGATGACGAGGGGGAGGATGAGGAGGGGGAGGCAGCAGCGGGCCCAGCAGCGCCCGCTGCTGGGTTGCCGGCCGGCGGCTATGCGGCGCGGCGTGCCAAGCGGGCGCGGGCAGAGGAGTGGCAGGAGAGGCGTATGGGCGGCGGCACCTCTGGAGACGCGCTTGAGGACGATTTTGAGCTTGGCAGCGATGAGGAGGATAGCGGTGAGCTGAGCTGCCCGGCTGACTGGCGCCTGCACTGCCTCACTGACTGCTGCTCGGTGCTGGATCCATTCACGTGTATGCCTGTGTTATGTTGCATTGCATCGCACTCCTCTAGCACCGATGCACTCCCTCTGCATTGCAACGTGCAGAAGGCGGCTCAGATGAGGATTTCAGCGAGGAGGAGGAGGGTGGCAAGGATGGGGTTGCACGCGGCGGCAGGCCCCTCACCAAGCTCGAGCTTCGGCGGCAGGCACGCGCGGCTGGGGACCATCCGTTGCAGGAGGCCTTTAGGAAAGCGTCCGCCAAGCTCCTGAAGAAAAAGTTGGGCGGCGCGGCGGCAGGTGGGGTCTGCACCAGCTGCTGCGCTGGGCTGCCAAGCAGCCTGCAACCCTGGCCACGGCTGCCTGTACTGCTGTTACCTTACGCGCTGTACAAGCGTGCTTCCTGCATCAAAGTTACCCAGCCAAGAGCATCATGTGTGCCGTCCGTGTGCCGCAGAGTGGGGCAGCTCAGATGAGGAGGGCTCGGAGGAGCAGGATGGCGGCAGCTCAGAGGATGGGGAGGGCTCAGGGGATGGATGAGCTGGAGGGCGGCAGCGGCTCCTCTGGGGAGGAGCAGGAGGCAGAAAGCGAGGAGGGCGAGGAGGAGGAGGATACAAGCGAGGAGGAGGAGGAGGAGGAGGAGGAGCCAGCCTCGAATGCGTTGGCTCCGATGGACTGCTCCCAGCAGACGACTCTGCTGCTGCAGTGACCGCCGGCGGCTGCGATGTGCGCAGCCCTGGCTGCTCTGCCGTGTTGGCTCCGGAAAGCAAACCCTGCCCGGCTGCCTGGCATCTGGCCACACCACACATATCTGCTGCCCCTTCTCTGCCCTGGCCGCTGCAGGCGCCTGACGCCGGCAAGGCGCGCAGCTCTTGGGAATCGTTCAACAGCACCCCAGGCTCTGCCGGGGCAGCGGCGGCGGCCCAGCAGGCGTCTCTGGCGACGGCGGCAGCGCACACGCCACCCCAGCAGCAGCAGATGAACGCGACGGTCATATCGGCGGCCATGGCTGCTGGCATGACCTTCATGCAGCACCTGCAAGCTGCGGGCGCAGCGGGGCCCCCTCCCCATCGCCGTTCTCAGACGTCAACCCGCTGCGCCACGCTGCCGCCGCCGCCGCCATGGCCGCCAACCCTGCATGGGGGCGCCGCAGTTGTCGGGGGCGGCCTCCTTTGTGCCCCCTTCTTCAGAGGTGCACCCCTCTGGGGCCCCGCGGCCGCAGCAGGTCATCGCCAAGATGATGGCACACCTGAACCTGGGAGATGCCAGCCCTGCGCAGCTGCAGGCGGCGGCCACCACCCTGCAGCAGCAGGCGATGGCCATGCAGCAGCAGCACCACCACCACCAGCCGGCCGCCTCCCGGCAGGGCAGCATGGGCAGCAGCGCCGCCTCGGGCGACGCCGCCCACCACCACGCAGCGCAGCAGCACAGCGCACGCGGCGAGGGCGTGCGCCGGTCCTGGCGCGCATTCGAGGGCGAACAGGCGCAGCAGCAGGTGGCGGGCCAGCTGGTGCGGCGGCAGCGCGCCGCCGCGGCGGTGACTGTGGACGTGCAGCTGCCGCGGGCCTCTGGGATCGCGGGCTGGGAGCCCATGTCTGGGGACGATGTGCACCGCTGCCGCTCCGTTTTTTTGCCAGAAAGGTGGGTGTGCTAGTGCGGTACAGCTGCAGGTCGGGGGGCCCGCACCCCACCCCTTCCAGCCTCGGCCTGTCCCTGGTGCAAAACCTGCCTCTGCGCAACACCTGCCCCTTGCGCAACCGGCATCCATGCTCCCCACCCTGTCCGCAACAGCTCCCGCACCCCACCCCACCCCCAACCACCACCTTTGTGCCGCTGCAGGGCTACCCCGAGGTGGGCGGCATGGAGAAGCACTGCGCCATGGAGTACTTTGCCAAGCTGCACATGGAACGACACATCTTCCACCAGGCCTGGCAGGCCGCCGACCACGGCGGTCGCGGCCGCCTGGGCGAGGGCGACTTCTGCCTGTTTGTGCAGCTGCTGCGCGGCGCGCAGAAGGGGCGGCCGCTGCCCGCGGCGCTGCGGAGGGCGAGGCGGCGGCGCTGCTGGGGCAGGTGCCCATGCCGGGCGGCGGCGTTGCGCCGCTGCACATCGACGCCGCACACCTGTGGTCGGTGCTGGGCCACAGCCGGCAGGCGTCGCTGGCGGGGCACGAGGTGGCGGAGTCGGTGCTGCAGGTGGGTGTGGGGCGGGGGCAGGGGCTAGGGCGCCTTCGGGGCCCGGTTGGAAAGGCCCTGGCCTGCTTGCAAGGGGGCATCCAGCAGCAGGGCCATGCACACTGAATGGCAGGCCAGGCTGCGCACAGGCCCACGGCCCGCCGCCCTCGCAGCGACGCAATGTCGCCCCTCTGCCGCCGCCTGCCCAGCCGCTGCTGCAGGGCTTTGATCCTGATGACGACGACGACGCCTCCTCCGTCGACAGCGGCATCGCGGAGAGCGTGAGCGGCATGTCTGTCTGCTCCTCGCAGCGCCCCTCCCACCACCCTGCCGGCGGCCACTACTCGCTGGCTGCCCCTCAACGCAGCCCCACCATCGTACGTGGCTGGGCAGCGTGCTGGGTGGCGGCGCGCCGTCCTACCACCCCGCCGCCGCCCCCCGGCCGGGCTACGGGGCAGGCTACCCGCAGGCGGCGCACAGCCAGGTGGAGGTGGAGCTGAACAGGGCGGAGGTGCGGTACCGCAAGGCGCTGTCCACCCCTATCTTCACGCTGTTGGTGCGGGACAGCCTGGGGCGGCTGGTGGAGCTGCCCATCGACACGCACCCGGGCACTACCACCGTGAGACGAGCACCATCCACTCCTCCGCCATCGTCAAGCTGGCCACCCAGCTGCAGCACATCCCCCAGGTGCGTGTCTGGGCGCATGCGTTGTGTGGCGTGGGGAGGGCTGCTGCAGCGCTCGCAGCGGAGGATGGCTTGTGGCTGGGGAGGGCGCGGGTGGCTGCACTCCTTGCCTGCCTCGTTTTACCTACGTGCCCTGTAGACTATGTCTCGGAGATACGCCGTTTTTTGACTCTTCTGACTGTACCGCTCCCCGCCCGTACCGTGCACCGCAGCACTGGAAGAGCGACAAGAAGCGCTTCTCCACGCTGGCCTGGTCCTACGCCCCGCTGGACGTTGGGCCCTCGGCGGCGCGGGTGGGTGCAGGCGAGTCGGGCAGAATGCACGGCACAAATGGCCAGCCGACAGGCCTGGCTGCCTGCGCTGCTGCTGCCTGCTGCTGGTTGCGCTGCCTCGCGCTGGCCTTGCTGCTCCACAATCGACTCGGCACCGTGCAACCCTCCCTCGTGCCTGCATGCCTGCAGGTGCACAACGGCCCGCTGGATCTGCCGCTGTTCAAGAAGCCAGTGGACTTGACCCTGCACCGCACCAAGCGGCTCACCAGCCGCGCCTTTGACCTGCACCTGACCGTGCGGGGCATCGAGTGAGGCGGCCTGGCTGCATGCGCAGGCTCCCGTGTGGCCGCTCGGCTCCCCAGCACCCATCACCGTAGCCAGCCCGAATTGGGGCTGGGCAAAGCCGTGGCAGAGCATGATGCGGTAATTGCAGCTGCAGCCCCACAACGTTGCCGGGCAATTGTTGTTGCTTTGTGGGGAGGAACTCACCTTGACGCTCCCTCCATTCATTTTGCCCTGCCTTGCCCTAATGTACCCCGTTCGTTTGCCTACCGAGTTGTAATCGATTGCATCGTGAAGTACGATACCACAGCCAGGGACACAGCAGCAGAAAACAAGAAAGCAAAATTGGTTGCGACGGATTGCCAACGCAGGAACCACTCAAGCTGGAGTGTCACAAGCTGATGGCTGGCATGGTTGGACCGCGTGCGCCGGCATGATGCAGTGCGCGTTTTCCACGCCGGCCGCCGGGCTGCCGGTGTCCATGGCACTTAAGTGCCCCGTGCTGGCCGCAGTGCTGGTCCCGGTGCTTGGCAGGGCACCGGCATTTTGTGGAATTATCGCTGGGGTAAAGTGCTCGTTGTCCTCCAGGTCCACTGCAGGCACAGCACATGAAGAAGGAGGGGCACAGGGTTGTAGGGTCTGGCTGAAGAGCCTGCTCCTGGCGGGTCATGCAAGACAAGCATTAGAATGCTGCTGCTGGCAGTACAGACAACACATGCAGATCAGCAGTCCATGCTGCTGCGAGCAGCACAGGTCATGCCCAAAATCACGCCTAGCCCACTCACTCCGCGCCAGGCGCAGGCGTTCTTGCTGAGCGTCCTGGTCACGCTGAGCATCGGCCTCGGCAAACATTTGTGGATAGACCTCCTGAGCGACCTCCAGCAAGCCACGCACGTTCTCCTGCAATTCTTGGTCGCCCGCCTGCCCTGCGGCAGCCGCCGCAGGATCCTCATCCTCGCCTGCAACACCGCCCTCCGCCTGCCCCACGGCCGCCGCCGCATCCTCGCCCTCGCCGGCCTCTCCGCCGGCAAACTCCTGCTGCACGCGCCGGCCTCCTTCCAGCGCGTCCACACTGTCCCCGCTGTCGCTGCCGCCACCGCCGCGAACGCGCCTCTGCTCGCGCCGCCGCGCTTGATCGCGCAGCCCCTGCACCTCCGCGACTAAGCGCGCCCTTATGCGCTGCTGCTCCGCCCTTATGCGCGCATGCAGGGCAGCTGCCTGCTGCTGCAGGACCAGCAACTCCCCCGGATGCAGCCCCTGCTCCGCGATCTGTTCGATCAATTCCCCCAGCTGGCTATTCAAATCATCCAGATGATCGTGCTCCATCTTGAGGCGCACGGATGACCTGCAGAGGAAGGGCCGCGGCAGGAAGCCCGCCCGTGAGCTCTAGCTGGAGCGCCCAGGCCAGGGCAGGCGACGCCTTAGCCCCAGGCGTCGCCGGCTAAGGCGTAAGGCCTTGCTGCCGATCTAGGGACCTTGGTGCCACCCTAGGCCCAGGGAAGCGCCAGCGTCTCCTGCGGCTGATGGCTCTGGCCCATGCCGCTGGCTGTGCCCCACGCCGTTGGCGCCGCAATCACCTCCTGTTTTGTCGTGTGTCGGACTGCAGCAGTGCGGATGCGCCGTGGTTTTCGGCGCGGTTCTCGTCGATGGGCAGCAGGCAGGAGCCGCCTTTGCCTGGGCGCAGCTGGGCCATTCGATAGTTGAGAGATGAAGTGGCGGTGAGCGGAAGAGCCGCCTCATCTGCCGCCTGCTGTCCCTGCTGCGCGCAATGTGAATTTGTAATGTGCGGCGGGAGTTCTGCCTGCTTCCGCACAAAAAGGATCACAACTAGAGCTAAACAAGCAACCCTTGCCCGTCCCACCTGTGATCAGGTAGCAGCACCACCAAGACAGCGGCACCAGCCGACAGGCACCAGTTACTGTCGAGTCTAGCATCAACAGGGGGTGCAGAAGGGCGCGGCAGGTCACCGCCCGTGCCACCTGGCGCATCGGCTACCGCCAGCTGTGGACGGTGAGCCAGCGCATGGTGGCTTCTCTCTGGTGCAGCGCATGACAGCGCAGGCCGCTGTCCACGGCTGTCACCGACGCATGCCTGCCCCGCTCCTCACCGACCGCAGGCTCGGCGCTAAGGCTGCCGGCACTGAATTCTTCCTGCAGCGCCTGCAGCGTGTGCAGCAGGTCCCTCCCGCAGAGCGCTCCCCCGAGCAGGCTGCGTTTGTGGAGCCGGCGGGGCTGCTGCGCTGCGTGGCGCGCCTGCTGCCGCTGACGGGCGGCGGCACGCAGCCGTGGTGGAGGCCCCTCGGCCTGCCCGGCCACCGTCCCTTGCAGCCATGCGGCAGAGCTCATCGCAGCTGTGATGGGCGTGGGTTGCGGGGCCAGCGGCGGGGGCAGCTGGCGCTGGCTGGCGGGCGAGGGCGTGTGGTAGGATGCATCGTCGTGCGCTGAGCTGTCGACGCCGGTGGCCGCTGAGCACCCTCTCGCGGGCTCGGTGGCGGTGAGGTGCAGAGCACGGGGGCGCCTGAAGGGCAACAAGCGTGCCGCACAGTTCAGGGCCTGGGCACTAAGGCAGTCACCCCGCCGACCAGGGCAGCAAACACGGGAGACGGTCAGCCACAGCAATGCAGGAGCCCCTGCGCTCACCTCAGCGGCGTGGAGTTGACGGCCTGGGTGTGCTGGCGGGCGCAAGGCGACTCCGGCTCCTCCTCGCCGGCTGCTGCCGCCGCCGCCGATGCAGCCTCCGGGATCGTCGCCGCATCCACATCCACACGGGTGGCTCCTGCCCCCGCCTGCGCCTCTGGTGCTGCCGCTGCCTCCGCCTCGGCCGCGGTGGCCTGCGCTGCGGCTGCTGCCGCGGGAGGCGCATGCGTCTGCGCCTCGGCGGCTGGCGCGGAGCCGGCGGCAGCATCCCTGGCGCCGGCTGGGGCGCCGGCGCCGGTGTGGGTGGCTGCTGTGGCTGCTTCCATGGAGGGAGCAGGTGCTGCAGGCGCCAGGAACTGGAGAGCATCCACATCAGCATCCGCAGTCAGGCGCTGGTAGTGGTGCTGCAGCCTCCACTGCTGCCGCCGCCGCCTGCCTATCCGCATCAACCAGGCCCGGGAAGCTGAGCCACACCAGCGGCGGAGCAGCGGGCGCTGCAGCACCAGCCATGGCCTGCTGCTGCTGCTGCTGGGCGTCCTGCGCTGCTACGGGCACAGCCGCAATCGAGGGCTGCAGCACCTGCGCCAGCAGCAGCTGGAGCAGGCCTGCCAGCTGGCGCACCGTGGCCGCGTGTTCCGCCGCGCTGTGGCTGGCTGCCACCGCTGCCAGCAGCGCATCTGCCGCCTGCTGCTGCTGCTCAGCATGCCTCAGGTGCTGGCGAGGCATGTTGCGCAGCATGAAGTGCGTGCAGGCTAGCAGCAGCGCAAAGCTGGTCACCAGGTCGGCCTGTGGCGGCAGCAGCGCGGCGCGCGCGGTGCAGAAGAGCAGCCAGAAGAAGCCCAGCAGTGAGCGGGGACCCGGGTCAGGAGGTGTGCTGAAGTACTCAGTAAAGATGTCCTGCACAGCGGCAGTGGCAGCAAGGAGGGGGCGTGGACGTGGGCGACGGTCATGACGGGAGGCAAGGGTGGGACTCCCCATGAAGCGAGCGGTACCACGGCCCGTAGCGGCACAATGAACCGCTTCACGGCCGTGGCCGAGCAATGCCATGCCACAGTTTGCAGCTGCCCCCGGGTGCGTCTTTGACCCTCCCTCCCTCACCCGAGTCTTCTTAGCCAGCAACGTGCTGAAAACGTAGGCCTGCTTGAGCTCCCGCAGCTGCAAACGGCGCTCCCCAGCACTTGGGCCACCGCCGCGTCTAACAGCGCCGCGGCGGGGGACAGCTCCCGCACGCCGCACTCCAGCCTGCAGTAAATTAGTGCAAATTGTGGGTCGGGGTGGCACTGGCCAGCAGGGGCCCAAGGGCCCAGCGAGGGTTGTGGCCCTCCACCCAGTGCTGATGCGCCACATGTGGGCCGCATGCGGCAGAATTGAGCAACCCCGCTCACGTCAGCCCACAAGCTGCAATCACGGCGGGCAGCCGGGCCCTCTTCTGCGAGGTGGCGACCGCTCCCGCCAAAAGGCAGCAAGCGCAAGCAGCGCTTCTCTGCTTGCCCTGCAGGCACGGGGTTGGTTGATGGGTTTTGTCAGGGACTCTAGGGGTGATCAGAACGTCGGTGGGGGCCTGCAGCCCGCTGGGAGAGGGCCGACCTGCAGCTTGGCGAGGATGTCGCCTGAGGCGTCCAACAGGAGCGCACAAATCTGTTCCGTCGTCTCGTCATCAAATATGCTGGCGGCAGCAGCCAGCAAAGCTGCTTCGGGCGGGCTTTCCGCTGTGCTCCCCATGGGTGGGAGCTCCCAGCCCCAAACCTCCGCCACAGGCGCCGGCAAAAGCGATCCAAAATTTTGGAGACTCCTGCGGGAGGGTGCGCGGCCTCGATTGGAGGGAACCGCGACTGCCACGTCAAGGCGCAAGAAGAATACGGTACCGAGC